AAGAAGTGCTAGCGCAAACCGGACAGACAGAGATTTTAAAAAAAAAATAGTTATGTTTTAGTGACACTTGCATACCATTAAAACATGAATAACTATTTTTAAAAATGGTTTACTTGACTTTTTTTACGTGGTAGAGCCATGCTGCAGCTATATTAGTAGTATAGTTGTAGCACGAATAGGTCGGCTCGACCGGGGAAGGACCACACTCTCACAGAATACCAGCGTAAAATAGCAGCTTAACGCTGCTGTGTTTCGTATGGTGAGTGTAGAGAACCGGAGACCCCTTTTACTGGAAAAGAGGCATTCCATCTTAGTCCTCACGACTAACAACGTATCTGCATTTTGATTTGTAATAGAGGATAGACGTAGATGTCTATGGGTCACAGCAATCACTTACCATCAGGTGGACTGTGTGCTCGTTTGTCATCCCTATCTTATAAAAAAAAAACTTGACATAAGGCAGTTATTTTGATATTACAGGCAGACCTTTCAATTGTGTATATACTTATGTATAGATATGTAGATATGTATGCACGCAATATTTTTTTATATTAATAAGTGGTATTTATTTGGGTTTTTTCTTAATTAATTAATTATAGTTATTAAATTACTTAAAAATTTTCAATTATATCAAAAAAAGGTTGCAGATTTTCAAGCTCGCGGTTTTAGATGCCGTACGACGAATATTTAATTACATCTTTCTATCTCTTTCTTTAGTCACACTAAGTATTTCTTAAAGTAGTTTTAGAGCTAACCTAAAAGTTAATGAATATATTAACCATCTATTAAAGTTGACAACATAACAATAAACCTGACAGAATGACCATTACAGATGAATTACGATTACGACCACTCTACAACAACTTTTTTGATAAAACGTTACCCCACTAGGAATTTCCCTGTATCTTATAGGTGTTTTACGTGGTTTTACGTACATAAACTGCATTCACATTGACAAATATCTAGACCAGAACTAATTTTTGTTATCAACTAGCTGAACCTATAGCTTGTGTTCAGCAACGTCTTTTATTTTAGCGCATGCAATTTAATTAATTATTCATTGCCGCGCTTGATTTAAAAAAAAAATCATAATTTTTTTTAAGTTTATGCATATACCTAGTCAGGTCATAAGTATTGTCACACAATAAAAACTTTTCTTTTAGAATGCTGGCCACAAAAAAGTTTATTGAAGTCGAATTTCTAATTGTTCATGAAAATAAAACTGTATACTTTTTAGAATTTTACTCAATTTTAAATATGGAGTGGACGCTTAAAGAAGACCGTGTTGCAGTTATTGCGTTGCATCGTTGCGGTTACGCGCCAATTCTAATTTTTGACATACTGAAAAATTTGAATATAACCAAAAGATTCGTTTATCGTACCATCAAACGATACAATGAAGACTCTAGTGTAGATGACAGGTCAAGAAGTGGTCGCCCTCGGTCTGTTAGGACTCCAGCAGTGATAAAAGCTGTGAAGGCGCGAATTCAAAGAAATCCCAAACGTAAGCAGCAACTGTTGGCCCTTCAGATGGGGTTAAGCAGAACCACGGTGAAAAGGGTGTTAAATGAAGACTTAGGGCTTCGGGCATATCGAAGAAAAACAGGACATCGTTTGAATGCTCGTCTAATGGACCTGAAACTGAAGAGATGCTGCGCTTTGTTGAAGCGGTACGCGGGAAAAAAATATCGGGAAGTTCTTTTTTCGGATGAAAAAAATTTTACCGTAGAAGAGAGCTACAACAAACAAAATGATAAGGTGTACGCACACAGTAGTGAAGAAGCGAGCAACCGTATTCCGCGTATCCAACGAGGTCATTTTCCATCCTCGCTCATGGTATGGTTGGGAGTTTCTTATTGGGGCTTAACAGAGGTACATTTTTGTGAGAAAGGTGTAAAAACGAATGCAGTTGTGTATCAAAATACAGTCCTGACGAACCTTGTGGGACCTTTTTCTCATACCATGTTCAATAACAGGCACTGGGTATTGCAACAAGATTCGGCGCCAGCTCATAGAGCGAAGAGCACACAAGACTGACTGGCGGCGCGTGAAATCAACTTCATCCGGCACGAAGACTGGCCCTCCTCCAGTCCAAATTTGAATCCGTTAGATTACAAGATATGGCAACACTTGGAGGAAAAGGCGTGCTCAAAGCCTCATCCCAATTTGGAGTCACTCAAGACATCCTTGATTAAGGCAGCCGCCGATATTGACATGGACCTCGTTCGTGCTGCGATAGACGACTGGCCGCGCAGATTGAAGGCCTGTATTCAAAATCACGGAGGTCATTTTGAATAAACCTTAGTGTCATAAGAATCTATGTTTTGTTAAGTTCATTTTGGTATATAAATGGTTACATAATGAATAAACATGTTTCAATTATTTTATATTAAACATGTGACAGAATTTATGACCTGATTAGGTATACACCTTCTCCATTGAAAAATACAATTATAATATACACATTTTCATGGTGGTCGATCAAATAAATTTTGAGTTAAACGATTTCATATATACATGTAACAAAAACCCTGTGGTTCCCGTTAAGTACGTTATCGGGATCAGTATTTACACCTATAGAAATAACTTTTTTTTAAAAACTCGACCATTTTTTTTTATTTTGTAATTTCATTACCTCTTACTGACGCTAGCCGATGCTAAAGCTAAGTAAAGCGGGGTCTTTGACAATCCTCTTACTCCTCAGACAATGCAGAGGTAATAAAACCACATACAATTTGCATACAATTAGGTATTGTTTTTAAATAAAATAAAATTTTATTTAAAAACGAGTTTTTAAAAAAAGTTATTTCTATACGTTTGAATAATGATCCTGATAACGTACTTTATGGGAACCACAGGGTTTTTGTTACATATTGTATAAACATCCTCTTTTGTATGTATAGATAAGAGCTAATAATCTTCCGCACACCAGATGTCGCTAGTTGACACTGAGGTGAAGTTTTTTTGTTACACAGTGACATTTAATTGAGAAGTTAGTTTTAAATTAAAGTTTATCAGTTTCTAGTGTTATATTTAATCCACAAAACAATGTCTCAGTGGTTTGCCCTTAAATTTTTTGCAAATTTTTACTCCTTTATAATTTTTTTGCTTTTATGAATATCTGTGGTTTAGTTTTATTTTTAATTAAATTAAATTAATATAAAATATAACTAATGGTATGTACAGAAAGAAACATTAACCGTTACATTTTTCGAACAAATTAACATCCCCACTATAGAATCTGTCAAATATTACACCTCATTTTCCGCCCTGATGGCAGAAAAAGTCGTGGATGTCCATTACTTGTTCTATGAATTATAGGCCAAAATTTTAGTATAGAAAGATCTTCTCTGAAAAATGTTGCTTATCTACTAATTTTAATAAAAAAAGGACTGTTAAAGTACAAATATCTATCTCCGTGTAGTAAAGCTCCTGTTGTGTAGAATTCCGCCTCCGTAATGTTACAATAACTTGCCTGTATTAGAATTGCACTGTTGTGTTTCAGTTTGAAAGGTTGAGTGCTAATACAATTACAGTTGTAAGGCATTCGATCTTAATAATCATGAATAACAACGAATCAGTAGTCTTCTTTGTTTGGTTTTTAAGTGTTGCACTAAGCACTTAATATCAGGTTGACAGTGTACTCGTTTGTCACCAATTGGTATTAGAATCTTTTACGTGATAGAGCCATGCTGCAGCTATATTAGTAGTAAAGTTGTAGCACGAATGGGTCAGCTCGACCGGGGAAGGACCACGCTCTTACAGAATACCAACGTAAAATAGCAGCTTAACGCTGCTATGTTTCGTATGGTGAGTGTAGAGAACCGGATATTATTTTTACTGGAAACGAGGCATTCCATCTTAGTCCTCAGGGGTGACAACGCCTCTGTATTTTGATTCCTAATTGAGGATAGATGTAGATATCTATGGGCCACAGCAACCACTTACAATCAGGTGGACTGTGTGCTTGAATAGAATAGAATAGAATAGAATAGAATAGAATATTTTTATTCAATATACATTACATGTGTAATTCTTATTGAAAGTCATTTTTTACTTTACCACTGGTTCGAAAAAAACCCTCTGTCCTGGGAAGAACCAGCAAGAAACCCAGCGGGACTTTTTTTTTAAATAAATTTTACAATATAAATGATTACGAACTATTTACAAAATTTATTTTAGAAACTGCTTGGAAGCGATCACCTCATTCCCAGGGGTTACTTGTTTGTCACCCTTATGTTATAAAGAAAATGATGCATCAGATAACGTAATATCGCTGATATATTACGGCTTACCTTGTTCTTAATTGAAATACATAGACGGGTGACATATAGCTGAGTATACCCAAATTAAAAGGTTTGTATGACGGTCGCCTAAGTCATGCTTTCAATTAATTGGAAAAACTTATATAGGTACTAGCTGGCCAGGCAGATGTTGGTCTGTCCTTTCCGAAGACCCTTCCTATAAAAAATTCTTAAATTCGCAATAAAAAAATATTGAGGGTCACTTATCGGGATAAAAACTATCCTATGGCTCAAGTTGGACCAAACTGCACAAAGTGTGCAAAACTTCATTGAAATCAGTTCAGTAGTTTAGGAGTTCATCGCGGATAAACAATGTGACACGTAATTTTTATATATAAAGATATAGCAATAAAACTTGTTGGAAGTTCGTAATGTTTATTAATGCGAATGAAAATAATCATGTGTATATATACACTTTATATCTACTTAAATCAAATAAAATATTTTTGTTAGCTTTAAAATATGGCTGTAATCATTGACCTACAATAGCGTTAATTCTTTTAACGCATTGCTTGCTTCTTATAAGGAATATAAATATAAGGTTAATTAAGTTGCTAAACTCCTATTTTCTTCGACTTTATGAATTATTTACCAAACGCATTATATATGTTATAATAAATATTATAAAAAATATTATAATAGGTTCATTCTTATTTTATTTTTCTTTTACATTTACAATAAAATTTTACTTTGCAGGCACTTCAGTATGCAACGGTGACAGCGGCGGTGGCATGGTATTCGAAATAAACGACAGTTGGTACCTCAGAGGCCTTGTCTCGCTCTCCGTTGCCAGGCAAAATGAATACCGATGCGATCCCTCGCATTATGTCGTATTCACCGACTTAGCCAAGTTCTTGCCTTGGATACGAGAGAATATTAACAATTATTAATCTATTATATTTGAAATATGCAATGCAACTTCACTGAAATTTCAAATATTTAGTATAGTCATTTTTATACAGAATTAATTTTGTGACCCTTGATGAGATCACATTACATGCTTCCATAAATCTTCAAAATCAAAATATATTGGTTGTATATTAAATGTATTATTATTATTATACTGAAATTCAAAGGAACCACTTTAAAATATAAGTGATATCGTATCGATCTCTTTAAAGAATAGACTCAAGAAAATTTCACTTTGCAGCTTGTAACCGCTAATTAATCTGTGTTTAGGAAGTACTCTGTGCTGTCAAATTAAAAATTTAAGTGTGACGTTCCCTTTTGACCTTTTGTCACTGTGGCGCATCATGCGTAAACGTATCTATTATAGTATGTTCGCTTACATATATGGTCGGCTTTGTATCGCGCCGCCTTAGCACATGCCGAAATTTGTCAAAGCCGCGACATCAAAGGTCGCCGCGTGCTTTGTACACCCGAAGGAGAATTTAGCATTTTAAAACAAAGCGCCGTAGTGAAAGGTTCTTTACTACCCCACTTGTTTTTATTAGGTATTTTATTACAATAACCATAAGAATAAAATAGTATTCTATTTTATTCATCGAATAGAAAACCATTTATTTAACAAACACAGTAAAAATAATAAAATAAAAGCAAAATAATAAGGGGGTACGGCCACTATCTTAGCGAACAGACTATACAATAATTCTAATGTGATAATTATGTACCTACTGTCGCATCATATTGCTCTCTATTTTATTAGTTTCAGGGCTGATTTTTCGATCTTCAAAGTTATTTATGAAATAAGTATAAACTGAAGGAATGTTTTAACTTTGTTTTTTAGTTTTTATCCTATGAATGGTAGTCTAATATGAATTATATTATGTAATTGGTTTCTTGGTAACATTGAGATATTGTACGTAAGTACAATTAACTTCAATGTTCGAAAACGGTCTTTTAAAATTTGAATGAAATTTTTAGTTAGATAATGGTTTACTTTCCTTTTTTAGTATATCAAGATAGATTTTATCTGTCAGATTCATTTGCTTAACGCCGGACAATTGCTCAATGGTCGGTCCAACAGGTACCTACAAAGTATAAACTTATAAATCTGTTGATTGAATTATCAGCTCTTATGAAACTGAATATAATTATACGATTACTTCGATCTATGTGAATTAATATTAATCTTTAATGTATAGGAATGTTATGTACTTCAATTATAATTCTGTATTTTAAATGAATTTTAATAGGTACATATGTTTTGAAACGTATTTGGGGGTAATAACGACGGTGTTAAATCGATATATACTCTTTAAGTTAGTGCATTATGTAGTTAATTTACTGTATTATTTTATTGTTTACATTTTGGCAATTTTTTAACATTGTATACTTTTTATAGTAGATAAACTTAGCGTAAGTTCAGTAGGAGTTGCTATGTTAATAAATTTACATTCTTTATTCTTTTTTCAAATTGTCTAAGATTTATTCTTAATTTCAAATTCAAATTCAATAAATATCCACAAGTTATATTGCAATCGAGTGATTTCTATCATAGCGAAAAAAAATTTCAATCGAGGACGTAATAAAAGAAGTTATATATTTTGCAGTTTTATTGGTATTGATGCATTATTTAAATTCTATAAAATCAATCTTACAGAATACCAGCGTGAAATAGCAGTTTAATGCTGCTGTGTATCGTATTGTGAGTATAGAGACTCTTTTACTGGAAACGTATGGTAGCATTCCTTCTCAGTCTTTAGGGATGATAACGCATCTGCATTTTGATTCTTAATCGAGGGTAGATGTAGGTGTCTATGGGCCACAGCATCCACTTACCATGAGGTGGACTGTGCTCGTTTATCACGCTTATTCTATAAAAAAAATATACGGTAGGTAGCCGCCACATTACCTTTCGTTGCTTCTTCATTTTTACTTTAGGTGGTAGAGACATGGCTCTATATTACTACTATACTAGTTGTAGCACGAATGGGTCGGCTCGAACGGGTCAGGACCACGCTCTCACAGAATACCAGCGTAAAATAGCAGCTTAACTATGCTGTGTTTCGTATGGTGAGAGTAGACCACCGAGGACCCTTCTAACAGGAAACGAAGCATTCCATCTTATTCCTTACGGGTAACAACGCATCTGGATTTTGATTCGTAATCGAAGATAGATGTAGATGTCTATAGGCCGCAGCAACCACTTACCATCAGGTGGACTGTGTGCTCGTTTGTCACCCTTATCCTATAAAAAAGGTAGAATATTAGATTCATCATCATCATCATTACAGCCCTTCACGAGTCCACTGCTGAACATAGGCCTCCCCCAAGGAATGCCACAAAGCACGGTCCTGAGCCACCTGCATGCATCGACTTCCTGCACGTCTTACCAGGTCACTCCATCTAGTCGGAGGACGCCCTATACATCGTCCGCCGGTCACCACTCGAGAACCGTATCTCCCCATCGGTTGTCGGTTCTTCGAGCTATATGGCAGGCCCACTGCCACTTCAGCTTACTAATCCGTTGGGCTATGTCGATTACTCTGGTTCTACTGCAGATATTCTCATTTCTAAGTTTATCGCGCAGAGAAACCCCGAGCATAGCTCTCGCCATAGCTCGCTGAGCGACCTTGAGCCTCCTCATACGGCCACCAGTGAAGGACCACGTTTCAGATCCGTAAGTCATCACTGGCAACACGCACTGGTTGTATAATTTCGTTTTCAGGTTTTGAGGTATGTCTAACGAGAAGATGTGTCGTAGTTTCCCGAACGCTGCCCAGCCGAGTTGAATCCGTCGATTGACCTCTCGGTCGAAGTTGGACTTACCTAGTCGGACTATTTATCCCAGGTAAACATACTCGTCAACAACTTCGAGCTTAGTGCTCCCAACAACTACCGGCATAGGTGTGACATGAACGTTAAACATGATTTTTGTTTTGTCCATGTTCATCTTAAGACCTATTCGTTGGGAGACGTTATTGAGGTCATTGAGGATAGGGCTTAGGTCCTTCAGCGATAGATTAGGTACTAATATATACTAAAGATTCATCGTCTTCACCAGCCTGTATATGTCCACAGCTGGCCATGGGCCTACAGTTGAAGGAAGGATTTATGTTAATCACCATGCAAGGCAAGCGAATAAGGACTTGCGGTCATAGACGGCACGGCATGGCACGACGCGTCAAAGGATTTTTTTCGTGGATAAAATATTTTGACCTTATTTTAATGATCTTAGCACTGACATTCCTTTATTTCAACACGAATAGACGTAAACACCACGGCATGCTGCTGCACGTCACTACATTCCATTGAAAGCGGCGTCACGGCATTCCATGGGAAGCCGCGGCACGCCGTTGTACACCGCTGCACGTGAAACGCATAGGTTTCTTTATATTGTTAAAGGAATGTGAGTGCTAAGTAAATGAAACAAGGTTGAACTTTTAAGCAGCAGTGGTAAACAGAGTTAGCGCCCGAACGCGGCTGGTTTTGTCACGACGCGGATTGCTACATGATACTTTGGCATGTCGCGGCATGCCGAAGTATACTTTCCACGTCGTGCAGTCTGTGAACGCAGGCCCCTAGCAATCGCACATCCGGTAGGCGTATTACGTATCTTGCAGAAGGCTAGCGATAGCGAAATTAGAACAATAATTGCTGATGAATCGCAGATACGTATTTTTCGACCAGCGATAACCAAGCCCTAGCTAACTAGCGACTACAAGGCAGCGCTGTCACTGGTTAGCTTGGTTATCGCAGATACATAATACGAATCTGCGATTTATCAGCAATTATTGCTCTAATTTCGCTATCACTAGCCTTCTGCAAGATACGTAATACGGCTACGGAAGTCTCACTCTTAACTCTGCACGTAAAACCGATGGTCTCGCGCCTGATCTCACTCCCGCCGTGTCGGATAACCGTCCCATCGGACTATGAGAGTGAGGGAATAGAGAGTAAACCTGTGCTTGCGTATACACTCAGGTGCTATAATCCTACCCTGCACAGATGGTCTCTGGTGACCGAAACTCGGTCTATAGGACATTATTACACCGCTAGTCGCTAGTCTGAGTATTTAACGTCTAGAAACATAAGAGATGGCTATACCGGCAACTTTCGGATACCATGAGATCCTTCTGGCATGTTCCATTTTCTTTTTTTTAGATAATGATACATAAAACACATTACAATAGTGCATAGTTACTAGTCAGCACCACTAAACCGCAAAACGGTTTGTATTGGTGCTTGCAGACGTTTATACGCATAAATATATTGTTTTTAATAACTACCATCGTAAAATTGGTAAAATTAAGGATGATAATAACTAACAACTGTATTAGCGACATGACGACAAACAGGTTTCGCTAGTTTACCGCCCACGACACCTATAGGAAGAAATTTGGATTCGGCACCGCAACAAAGCACTTTCCTTACTTACCTAACGTAGTCAAACCAATATAAATTGGAATTATGTTTGATTTAATATAATTATGCAAAGACTTCTATATATAAGTAATACTAGACGAGCTCTGCGGCCTTAATACATTACGCACTACGTTATGCATGCCATACACGATCCAGTTTACCGTCAAGTTTGCAACGCTTGAAGCGGCGTCCAGTTTGCAGTGCATCCATATAGACCACTCACGTTCAAGTTCTTCGACAAGTTTGCATGATGCCGCATCAGTTAAAAATATGGCCTCTCGCTTATTGCTCCGACTAACGTCATGCATACTTGGCCGCTCATACACACGTTCAAGTTTACATGACACTGCACACTTGATCAAGTCGGCAGAATCGAAATTCAATTTTTGTTTCAAGTAGACTTGTCATGCACACTGATAGCCGTACATCGTCAAGTTTACCGGAAGCCGCTTCAAACGCGCTGCAAACTTGACGGTAAACTGGATCATGTATGACATCCATTATGGTCGAAGTGACCTCCTTCATAACTCCTTTAGTCAACTGCGAGCAACCGAGAAGACTAGATCTGTTTTGTAAATATTATTTTCCAAAGTTGCCACAATTGGCAAATTTGGGTTGGCAACCGTAGTTTATAATTTTCTGGTTATTATTAGGAAGACGCTGCTACCAATCTCTATTTTTGGTAATAAAAGCTTTTAAATAAATGATAACGAAATGAAAGATTACAAAATGGTGGAAAATAAAATAACATAGAGGTTCTCACATATATAATAAAGAAACTTAAAATAACAAAAAAACAATATGTTTCAAATGACATTTCAGAGCTTCAGAGACATGAAAAATTATAAATACACATAGATAAAAAATTAAATTACATTTTACGGCTTTTAACATGAAATGAAAGTTGGTAAAAAGAAATGTAATGCAACCAGGGCCAGATTTCAGATCGTCGAAGCTAAATAAGAAGGAAATGTAGGCTCGGAATATTTTTTCAAACAACACAATTACAATCTTCCTTCTTGGAAGAGCCACATAGTATCAGCGTTAACCAGGATTGGATAGCAATTGTATTGTGTATAATAACTTTTATGCCCTTACTTGTTATAGCGCAAATGAGTCGGCTCGACAGGGGAAGGACCACGCTTTCGCAAAATGCCAGCGTAAAATAGCAGCTCAATGTTGTTGTGTGCTGTGTTTCGTATGGTGAGTGTTGAACACCGGAAACCCTTTTACGGAAACGAGGCATTCCATCTTGGTCCTCAGGGGTGGCATCTGCATTTTGTCTATGGGCCACAGCATCCACTTACCATCAGGTGAACTGTGTGCTCGTTTGTCACCCTTATTCTCTAAAAAGAACTATTTGCTACAGATTATGTACTGTACTTCATTTATCGATTATAATAAAACATTAAAAGTTAATTATTTTATAACGAAACTATAATGTCAAATACATTAAATAAAATCCTATTACAAAACTAATTTTACTTTTAAGCTTTCCTCTCATGCTGACCACTATTATGTCCACTATAGTGAGAAGAAAATTTTCGTGATCTCTTATAGATAACTCAGTCTACCATTAGAGTTTATTGATAATGTGCCCTACTGAACTAACTACGAACGAAACCTGAAAACCTAATTGCATTACATTTCAGATTATTAAGTGCATAATGAGGGCTTACACAACTTTTTCTGCCACCAGGGCGGCGCTATTTAAGAATGAAGTGAAATATTTCACAGTTTTCATAGTAAGGGATGTTAATTTGACAGAATAGTGTAGAGATTAATGTTGCTTTCTGAAACATTAGTTATATTTTATATTAATTACATTAGAAATGAATAAAACAAACAAAATTGTGTACAAAACAGCACTAAGGCATTGTTTTGTGTAAGTATTTACACACAGTAGAAACCGATTTTTTATTTATTTAAAAGGCAACTTTTCAATGGTGACGACACTGTGTGACCATCTGCATAACAAACTTAGTCCCAACTAGCGACACCTGGTGAGCGTAAAATCTTTTTACCCTCATTTCCCGCCATCATTACACATCAAACATGGCCGCGTAAAATGCAATACAAGGCGATACTTTTATATGAAGCTGTCATTTTTGTTGTTTACTATCAAACAAATTTGCTTGCTATTAAAAACACTAACGATAGTAGTCCATTGATCGTCGCAGCCATTTCTGATATTGGATTTTTCGTAATTGCCATCATCGATATATATGTACTACGCACTAGATTTCGCATTCCGAACATTGACTATGTTCAATTGAACTGTACTGCAATCCGTACACTAAACTAAATATTGCGTAAATTGAACATTTGTGAATTCCATAAGATAATTATTATTATTTAGAAATATGTTTGTTTAGATTAAAATAAAAATATTTTATATTAAATTCTTATATTTATTTTATATAGATATCTTATTTTATATTAAATTAAAGTCTTCTCGCATGCGCGACTCTACTATCTCTCGCGCATGCGCGAAGACATAGAGTCGCGCACAATGGTTGTTTAGAATAGCTTCTCTAGTACGTAGTATATATAACTCAATGATTGCCATTACCAAACAAATTGATAAATGTAACAAGCCGTAGACAGGTGACAACAAGTTGACAGCTAGCATATAACCGAATCGCCACAAATAAAAATAACTAAAACCGCTCTTCAAACATGAAAAATACTTGGACACAATAAACATAAAACTATTCTTAATCATACATTTCAGTGAATATTAATGTAATAGACAAAATAATCAAAAGAGACGTTACGAGGCAGATGATAAGGTCGCTATTACCCCGATTTTACACATTCCCACAAATCCATTGTTAAAAAATAAAAAATAAATGTTATAGTTTTGGAAATACAAGTTCGCAATAATTTACAATGACGTTCAATCAGTCTCATTAAGTCTTCCATTACCATTTGGAAAGTGCATCGTCTGATCGCCTTGGTTCAAAGTGCCAAGTACGACGGAAACCAACATTTGTACATCACAGTTTGTCGTTGGTTACGCTAAGGCTTCTCAAACTCTCCCCTCAAACAGGTTCCCGCCTTGTCGTGACGAGGGGGCTTAGTAGCCGTGGATTGATCACTCAATGTGGAATTCACTTGGCTGGCCCGAGGTGGCCGCTTCGAGTGGGCTTGCTTAGCTGATTTTGGACGCGTGTTAGTGGACTATGGCGCAAGGGATTTTCTCTCAGCCCTCCCAGCCGAGGTAAAATCGCGGGGGAAAAGGAGTGTTGGTATGACCTAACCCGTACTTGTCCCCACGAGACGTGCATACATAGGCATTTCCCATGTCCTGGCTTCTCAAACTATCTTAATCGAACCTCATATCAAAAAAAGAAGTCACGATTAAGAGAGTGGCCGTTTTTGGTCAGACATTGTTATGACTTATGGTAGATTGCGACCAAGAAGACTTCCGAATACCACATGGAAGCCCTTCAGACAGATAACTCGTACATTGTAATAATGTCCTCCAGACCAAATTTCAGTCATAGCGGCCAGTTTCAAAGGAGACCAGCCATCTGCGCGCCATCAGCCAGGATTATAGTGCCAGAGTGTATGTGCAAGCACAAGGTGTACTATTCTCACTCTCATAGTCCGATGGGACGGTAAACCGACACGACCAGAGAGAGATCAGGTGCAGGACCAACGGCTTTACGTGCTTTCCGAGGCACGGGGGTGAGACACCGACAACTTCCTGACTCCAGGTTGCTACTGAGAATTTCTTGACTGAAAACCCCATTAGCTAATATTTTAGCCCAACCCGGGATTTCATGAACAGCAGTCACGTTTATTTATTACTAAACCAACTAGACAGTCATTTTATTGCTTACTGCATAAAGACCGCCTCTTATTTCACTGAAAAACCGAGAAGAACATAGATATATATAGAACAGATATATGTAACATATAATACATAATAAAAGTCATTTTTACTTAATCGATTTGAGGGTAGTTTTATAGAGACAGAATAAATCGGTTCCACGATAAATCGATATCTTTATACCGAGAAATAATTTCACAACAATGTCGATAACTCTAACACAGTAACGTTCGCTTTCGGACGTAGAAAAGAATTTGATAAAAATTTATACAATCTACATTCCGACAGTACCTAGCAAGAAAAGAGTCAGTCTAGAAACTGATTCATTTCTTTAAAATAGACAAAAAATGCATAAAACTTTCCGTATTTCATCAATTATCAGGCATCCAAACAAACCAGTATCATTAAAAGATGGCGAGGTTCTCTATTCTGCCTACAACCTGTACATCTCTCTTCACGTCCGCATATCCTAAAGCCGTTTGTTACACAGTGAAACATTTTTACAACCACACTATTTACAATAACTGTAACTGTAACCAATTAACCATCCAATACCACTACCAATATGGCGCTGTACCATTCCGACATCTCTGCCCTTTTAATCGTTCATCTGGGAAAGCTGGAGCCCAAGGGAGGTTCCTTGCCGCCCTTGGAGGCCGAGGATTGCCTTTATTTGCTATGTAGTTTGGGTAGGCGACCCTGGCGTTCACACAGACTCCAGGTCGGCAACCGTTGCGTGGTGTGTTGGGATGACTTCCGCCTAGAGGGGGATTCGGGAATTTGTCCCAGGGATCCGGCATCATGCAGTTCCCGCAGCTCCATGAATAATCACCTGTGCAACCGAAATAACTAATGAAATATGAAAAAAAAAATGTACGATCAGCATATTATTTCAAAACCAAAAAATAAACATTTATAAATTACATGTTCATAATACACATATATAATCATAAGAAAATAATTATTACTTTAAAAAACATCCATTAATACCATAGCAAACATTAATTTAACAAAATCGATTTCATTCAATCGACTCATTCGTGCCATCGATTCATCCACTCAAACGATATTTCAATTTATATGAAGTCGTATATAGAAAAATTAAGTGATCATAGACACTAATAAAATACAAATATGTTTCAATAATATATTTATTTTCATACGTCTACCGTTTGGCCAGCATTTGGAAGAATACCTTTTACATTTTTCGATCCATCGACACACAAGTACACTTTATGGGAATCACATTATTAATGTCTGACAACTTGCAACACTGTGGTAAATGCAAGTGGAGAAAAAAGGGAACTTATACAAATAATTTTAAAAGCAACAAACTTAAAGAAACTATCACTTACTCAGTGCTGCATGAGATCTGACAATGTTTCTACTACCCACATAATTGTCGAATTTATTATAAACATACATGTCTAAGAATAGTGAGCTGGGCTTACAATCTAAAACTTAACACAGTTTAGGTGCAACAAAATTATTAAACATTAAATAATCATACAGATATTACACCTTTCATGTAAAATAAAGATTTAATGAAATTTATATCACGTTCATGAGATTTTAAAGAAGAAATTATTCCTAATAATTACATTCTGCAAAGTATACAATTTGTAAATACACATATAGATATATATAATCTACATAATATATATGTATAACAATACAACATATAATTTCTTTGCCATGAATCATTAATCTATTTTATTTTGATAATTATTATTTCTTTGTTGATAAAAAAATTTAATGTATTTTTTAATCCACAGACTTTTTCCAAACTATTCTAGATTTCGTGATTCTTTTCTCATTTTGCATATGCCTCAACTGAAACCGGATACTCAAATCCATATTAAAGAGCAACTGAACGATCATGGTGATAGTTAAAAGCACATATTTCAACATTCCAACGACAAAGTGTACGGTATTTAGTCTAAAAAATAATTTTTCGATCGTAATTAATATGTAAAAGTATTTTAACACGTTAAGTACCTTATTAATTGTAACTTTACAAATATAACAAGAATTAATTATTCACCATTGTTATTAACATATCAGCCTACATAATGTTAAGATTCTTCACAAAATGTAAACTTTATAAATATAGCCAGCCATTAGGAATAGTTTAGACTTCAACTGTTCTCTTGGTGGAAATCTATAAACACTCGTACCATTCCCCCAAAAATCTTTAAAGTTTATTTTGTTAATAACATAATCAGTTATGCCTTCTTAACACGTTTTCAATGATTGTTCTAGACACCTAAGGCTGTAGCAAGAGTGGGTCGGCTTGACCAATCCAGTGTTATGGAACAACGGTGTGTTCCTTGTGGAATCGACTACCACCAGCGAATTTTCCGGACCGATACAACTTAGGGACCTTTAAAAAAAGAGTCTACTCTCTTTATAAAGTCCGACAACGCACCTTAAATTCTCTTGGTGTTGCGGTTGTTCATGAGCGACGGTATTCACTTACCATCAGGTGAGCCGCATGCTCGTTTGCCCCCTCTCATATAAAAAAAAACAATAATGTCACTATGCTTTATATGACGTGTGATAAAAACAGGAAATAATTTTTACTAGTAACGAGGCATTCCACTTTAGTCTCCTTTGTTGACTACACATCTGCATTTTGATTCTTAATTGAGAAGATGAAGGTGTCTGAGTCCAGCATCCACTGACCATCAGGTGACTGTATCTCTTTAGTCAGTACTCATCCGTTTTTAGTATATTAACGTACAACCAATACCAATACTCTGGATCAATATCTTGCACATGTTTGTCATCAAATGGCCATAAAGTTTAACATTTTGTAACTTTAACCACCTTAACGAAATACAAGGAATTTTCAAATTAGAAACACCTTATTGCCATAAAATTATTGTGAATTACAATTATATTATATTGTTTTCAGTAGTATTTCAATTAAATTCTGTTAATACTAAATAAAGCAAAGTTACTTAAAGCTTATATAGAACCGACAGATAGTACATATACTTAGGTATAACTTTTATTTAGGCACAATTCAAATATTCAAACTAGATCTAGCATTCTAGGCCTACGGTCCGAGTTCAGTGAGAAAGTCCATATAAATTTCAACTATAACACCCTACGAATAGAGACCATAATTATACAACTTCAAGTAAAACAGAACAGCAGAAATCCCCACCGAACGTCTTTATAAGTTGCTACCATTTTCGTTATCAATTATAATACATTAATGTACATAAAATTAAATATTTGACTAACCTAAGAAGGGTCATATCATTTTTAGACAGGTGTCAGAAAGTATAGTGTTGCCAATTTTTTTACTATTCAAAAGAGAAAATTTTTGTATTTGCCGCATTCCGGAATTTAAATTCAACTTATATCTTCTTTAGATTTCACTAATTTAATTCAGAAACTTTATTTAATTAAAAACAAAATTTGTCTTGCCTTGAATTTTATTAATTAAAAGCACCGACAGAATGACTCTATGGTTTTGGTAACACATGTAATTATAGTGTATATGTAACAAAAACCCTGTGGTTTCCGTTAAGTGCGTTATCAGAATCAGTATTCAAACGTATGGTAATAACTTTACTTCAGTAAACTCGACCATATTTTTTTATTTAAGTTAATTAAATATAAGATGCCAATTGCAAGTGGTTTTATTACCTCTGCAAGTTTAAATACTAATTCTTGTAACGCACTTTAGGGCACGCACGCACTTTTGCTACAGGGTTCTTGTTAAATGTTGTATATCTCCAATGACTCTTCTTTGCTGCAATCCATTGCATTTAATAAACATAATTTTCTTGTAAATTTATCTTGTGATACGAATATTTTTTCCTTTGTTGTGTCTTTTCTCTTTCTTACACTAAGTTATCTCGTTCTGACACCCGTGCAACACTGGCTACGGTTAGGAACAGACACTGTAACAGGAACAACACTAATAGACTCCGGAACACCTACTGAACACCCGAATCACCGTTGATATTGTCAATGTAACCATCGGACACACAGCGGACGCGTTCGCGCACCGTTCAGTACAATAATACGTACAATTTTGATATGTACGTATCTATGGTGAGTATAGAATCGGAGACTCTTTTTACTGGAAACAAGGCATTCTATCTTAATTCTCATGGGCTAAAATCTCGAGGATGAATGTGAATGTGAGATCTATATTGGCCACAGCCCCCACTTACCATCAGATGGACTATGTGCTCGTTTGTCACCATTATTTTATTTTTAAAAAAACTATGCGAAACGTTTACGTCCATCGGTGGACTATTTTTAACGGACTACGGACTTATGATGGTGACTTATATAGTTTTATATAGAGTCAAAACTCGTCTAACAGTTCATCTAATTTTAAGTGGCAACTGCAGCCCACAAAGACCTACAACCAACTTCAAACAGATGCGTTGTTAACTCTGAACACTAAGACAATTTGCTTTACAGCTCGTAAATATATTTGTATATTAATATTTATAATAATTTAATAACCTTTAGATGCTAGTTTTTCCAACGGTACATCAATTTATAATATTTATTGAACCCAACAGTATTTATTCAAAAACGTAACACTGGCTATTATAAAGTCAATTTGAGGACATCTTTCATTTTATATAGGAACTGAAAAAAAAATAAAGAAGATTAAAATTGTAAATAATAACCGCAAAGAAGCGGAGAGTAACCAACCAGTCTACGAGAATATTATATAAATGAGTATATTTTTATTTATAGAATAAGGGTGATAAACGAGCACACAGTTCACCTGATGGCGAGTGGATACTGTGGCCCATAGACGTCTTCATTTATCCTCGGTTAAGAATCAAAATGCAGATGCATTGTCATCCCAGAGAACTAAGATGGAATACCTCATTTCCAGTACAAATAGTTTTTTTCTTTATAGGATAAGATTGACATCTGAGTCTCCGGTCCTCTAAACTCACCATACGAAACATCGCACCATTACGCTGGTATTCTGTGAGTAGCAGCAGTACCAGCACTACCGCCAGTGTGTATTGTAGAATGCATAATATATTTGTATGATATAGCTGCTTTTTTATTTTTGTTTCCATTGCTGTACTGAGAGAGGACCACGCATCTGTAGCATTTTTTGTATAAAGTCAACACCTGCAGTGTCCACTATAGAAGTCACTTGACATCTGGTGGGCTGTTAGTTTGTCACTTCAGTTTCATAAAAGAAAAACTCGCGAGACAAGCATATTTTAAATTGTTCCCCTACAAACTTGGAGCAATGAAAATATGTCCAACAAACAAGGAGTTAAATCAAATCTGTTATATAGTTTAAGCTAAATAACTACCAATATTTTGATATCATCGCATAACTTATACGTCATGTAAAACAAAACAATAATGAAGAAATAATTATCCTATACTAAAACAAAAACTCGAGTGTTTTTTTTTACTAGAAACGAGACACTCCACCTTAGTCTTCAGGGATGACAAAGCATCTGCATTCTGGTGCTTAATAGATGTAGAAGATCCACTTACCATCAGTTGGACTGTGTGCTCGTTTGTCACGCTTATTTTGTAAAGAAATCACCACCATTAACGAATTATTAATTATAACATTAGATAAATAAATAAAAATACGACAATGATGTCGAATGATTTGTCAGTATTCCTATCTATAGCTACATCAGAACTTACCAAAAGGATAGTGGTCAACTAGTTATACCAAGAAAAAAAAACAACATACAACTTGGCCAAAACAATTAGACGCATGACAAGAACGCGGTTTCAGCGCCCGCACCCCGCCTCTATCCCCGCGCTACTAGTTGGCCGCGCCTTAGGTGGCGAGGGGTGAGGCGGGGG